CCCCACGTTATTACTCCCAGCGCACCCCCTGTCCCCACTATCCTACCTCAGTGTGACCAGCACTCAGGACCATCACCCTACCAATATTGAGGGCAACTTCGTTTTTGTTTTTGAGTGCCCAGGGTGTTGTAGAGGCCAAGGACCAGACCCGCGGTGATTGCTGGTAGCAGCAGCCAATGGTTGTCCTGGCAGGACAGGCCACCTACCCCACCCATCCCCACGTTAATACTCCCAGCGCACCCTCTGTCCCTACTCTCCTACCTCAGTGTGACCAGCACTCAGGACCATCACCTTACCAGTATTGAGGGCAACTTGGACCAGACATTAGTGACAAGCACCAGGGCTGGGCCAACCTCCCAGCCCTAATGGCAGCGGAAGTGGGAACTTCGGACGCCAGGCTCATGCAATATTCTAGAACCAATACAGAGAGTCTACCCAGCAGGATTACCTAAGCAAGGCAGGCCAACGCCCGCGGACACATCCTACCGTCCTTCCCCTAGCTTACCCAAGGCTAGGCGGAACTCAGACTAGCCGGAGAGTATGTGTGTGTGTGTTTATGTGTTTGTGTGTGTTGTGTGTCTGTTTGACTGTGTGTGCGTGTCTTTTTTTCTTTTTTTTATTTGTTTTTTATGGTTTTTATTTTTTTTAAAATACATGAAGTTCAAAATGCAAGGAAAATAAGCAACAGCAAGAGGACAATCCCAGATCACATTATCACATTGCAATTTCAAATAGTCGCACCGTGTCCAGATAGCAGCATTGCACCAACAATACACCAATGGAGTTTTATAGTACTGAAAACCAATGTCCGTGGAGAGCTCACTCTCTCCCTCAATACACGAGTCCAGTTCCCTTACACTCACACTTGGCGCTCAGCGCCCAGCCTACTCCTACACAGCTACTACAAAACTACAAAAAGACAATGCAACTGTTGACATCAGCAGCAGCTCGAAGTACTTGAAGATGCCGCCCATGCAGACCATCGCCAGTACCAGGTACGTGCCCTCACATCATCATCATCATCATCATCCTTCACCTATCCCCTGACTTCACCCAACACCTGTCCCCTCTGTCACCCGAAGACCACCCCTGCACTTCACTGTAGTCCAAGCCCACCGGCTATGGTGGCTGGGCTATGGCGCTGCCCTTGGCAGCGCCCTCCTCCTCTGCACGGCCGCACGTGCTGCACCTCGCCTCCCAGCGCTAGCAGCAGNCCCCCCTCCCCCCGCTCACCAACGAAATTAGTAAGGACCCAACTGTTTAAGCGGTCACATCTAGTTGGACAACGAGCCGTTCCCCAGGCGGGGAGACCAGGTGCTGGTCTAATCTGTCCTATTTGTGTCCGATTAAATCGCTGCCACAAAGCAGGAATGGTGCTTAATTCCCAAAGTATTGAACAACCACTTAAATTGTGTTTTCACTAATTGTCAAATCTGTTTTCGAAATCTACTGCTGCGCACAAGTAGGATTCGATATTGTAATCCTTGAAGTATTTACTAACTGCATAAACGGCGCCGCGCTCTATTACCTTGCAAAATCATGCTCCCAAGGTGGGGAGGCGAAGCCCTGCCAAAATTGTCCCAACCACCAGACAGTTCTTCTGCACATAATAGTTAGATCCTCTCCCCAGCCCTAACTAAGTACTGTTTCAGACTGGAAGTCTTCACTCCAGGAACCACTGCAGGAACCAAGCGGACGACAATGCAGAGCCCGGGGGCAGGCAAGTCGCCTGCCACGTTTAAACAGACCCTGCAATCAATGGCTACTTACAGTTGCACATCTCAAGTGAGCAAACCCTCCACAGAAATCATCGAGAACGACGCCCTCAAATTCCTGATTGAGAAAACCAGAGTCCAAGGGGAAATGGTGATAAAAAGACAAACAAACGCAGATGGCAAAGAAGAGGAAACAGTGATTTGGAGATACCCAGACGGGAAAATCCCGGAACTTGACGATCTTCACGAAAGACATGCTGATGCCGACAGAAAAACAGAAATGGATTGCAGAAACCATTAGGAAAGAGGGTAAGCTCAAGACTTCAGACGAATCCTTCTCCATGATCAATCTGGGCCGCAATTCAGTGATGGTGATCTTCATCTCAGAAGACCACGCAAGGATTGCAGCCGAGATGAGATCCAGAAATTGCAACGGATAAATCTGCATTATCAATCATTGGAAAAAACAAACCAGCGTGAGACCAACTCCATCCTTTTTAGTATCCTACAAGCAGACCCTCCTCAAAGAACAATTTTCGGTGCAGTTCGCTCGGATCCAGGCAGGGTACCTGTTACATACTTCAATGAGTATGGGCAGAACCAAAGATCAACCAATATAGGATGAGCGTACATGCAGCGGAAGTCTGATAAACGGACTGACTCACATAGACTGACTCACATAGGTATCACTCCGCACACATACAATCATGAGATGGTGGGGTCTGGGCCAACCATAGACGATGCCCAGATCCCATACACACATACACAGATGAAAGGTGGGAGGAGAGACGAAGGAGGTGGGGAAGGTAGACAGCACCGATAGGTCACCGAGATAGAATCCGATAGGTCACCGATATGGTAGTCCAAAATGTCATCCAACAAGCTCAAAATGTCGAGGACAATCAGTCACCAATGTCCGAGATACAGAGTCCAAATGTAACCGGTGTCCGAACTGTGATGCCACCAAGTTTCAACCCCAACGATCTCCAAGTCTCCAATCCGGTAAGTACCACAGTCTCATACCACCGAAGTCCAACCCTGATCTCTGTCCAACTAGTATAAGTCTCCAATCTGAAGAAGAAGAAGAAGAAGAAGATGGAATCTGAGGAGAAGAAGAAGAAGGGAGCCGAGGAGGGAAGAGAGAGAGAGGGGACTGGCGATGGGAGGGAGGAGAGAAGCCTCCAACTCCCGATACCTCAGGCGGCTATAGCCGCCGATACACTCTGTCGCCGCTGCTGCTGCGCTAATGCTGCGCTGCGCTGCTCCTCGCTGCTCCTGCGCTAAACTTAGCGCGAGTGCTGATTCGCGCTGTACCATACCGCACCGTAGCGTTCCGGTAGGTCGATAGCCTCACTGAGGCTTGGACCGATACTTCTGTACCGGTGGGGCAGAGGCTGGCCTCAATGCTGCGAGGCCTGGCCGTGCCCTGAACCGTCAAGATGGACAGTTCAGCCCCAACCGGCGGGCGGCAGCCTCAAGAGCGCCGCCAGACCCAAACGGTAATGTCGTTTGGGCCTGCCCGTCGGGTTTGGTCCAAGGTAAGGCCTTTACGGCCTGTAGTACCTCCAAGGTTGGGCCTTTAGGCCCTAATATGTCCCTCTAACCCTAAGTGGGGTCCGGTAGGACCCGTGTGGCGTCGAAGATGTAACACACTCCCCCTCTTAAAAGACCGAGCTACCTGCGAGGGCGAAGTTGTCTGTCYGATACCGGGGTGGGTCGGGCGAGACGAGCTGCTTCCTTAGCAAGGCGTCGCTTCTCATAGTCGACGAAGATAAGGGGTGCAGAAGTCTGCAAATCTGTATTGGAGATCCACCGAGTGTCATCAGGCGCACATTGCTTGAATGTGACCTTG